CAACCTCCAGTTACCTGAGCCCACATGACACACTCTGGTACAAACAGACACAAACACAAGCATTAACAGATTGTCTGCGGTCTAAGCCCTGAGTGGACTTGGCTCAACTGCCTTTCAAAGACAAAAAAAAAAAAAATCCTCTGCTAAGAAGATGAGGGGAATCTACATTATCTGAAAAAACTCCCTTTTTCAGACCAGGACACACACAGAGCACTGGACCACAGCACCACAGCACAGCCAATCAAGTGCTGCCACTGCTTCTGGTCTATGGACCTCAGCGCAGCCACTTTTGCCAAGTGTGTGTGTGTGTGTGTGTGTGTGTGTGTGTGTGTGTGTATGCGTCGATCTTAGGGTAAGGAGGTTGCTCAGGATCTGGCAAGACCCCCCGTGGTGAATCCTGATCCTATTGGTCACGATGCCCAGAGTGCTGCTGAGATCTTAAATAAAAATTCCTGCACTCACTCTCTCACTCCTCCCAAGTGACCCAGCGGGTTTTCCACCATTATACAAATAAATGCCACCTCTTCATCAGAGGATGTGGCTCCGTTTTGCATATGTGGGAGTATGTGTGTGTGGGTGGGTGTGGGTGAGTGAGTGGGTGGTGTCCTTTTGATGTCAGATGTCACCGAGCATGTCTTAGCATATCAATCGTAATGAGATTCAGAGATTTTTAGGCTTCAACAGGCAGGTGTGATCTTAACCTATGCATGAGTGGCCATGCAAAAGTAACACACGTCTGAAGAATCATGAGCACACACACCCATGCAAGTGTAGCTCCTGTTGAAGTTGAAGTGAACGAGCTTTGAATGTGTGTGTGTGTGTGTGTGTGCGTGTGTTCTGCTGCTGCCCCCCTTTACCCTTTACCACACACAAAGAGGCAGAAAAAGCTCGGTGGAGTCTCCTATTCATCTAAAGCACAATGGAACCCCACAGAGGTTTTCTTCCTGTTTCCCTGTCTGCCCCACACATCTCCCCCCCCCACACACAGGGCAGGATGGAGGGGCAGGGGGTACCCTGTCCTACCGGCCCAGCAGCAACTCAGCTCCCATCTGCCACCGAAACTCGCCTTCCTCCACCCCCGGCACATCCATCCATCTATCCATCCAACCCCCTCTCTCACTCTCCAGCCTTAACTTTTTTTACTGCACTCTGGGTATTTGAAGGTCTGAGCCAAAATCTTTGTGTTTTATTTGGAAAATATCGCCTTCAAAATTCATCGACAGAGTAAAATACATTTTGTGATTACCATTTTGAAAAACTAGATTGACCTTGGTTTATTAAACAGCTCTGTCAAAAAGAGTTTTACACTTCAAACATCATTGGCTTTACATTTTTGGATTAAATTGAAACATTCAAGCATTTTATTAATGTGTTATGTAAGAATACACAGCTAGAGACCATCTGCTGTGAGTTCAACAAGACATTTTTTAACCAGAATCCAAGGATATTTCAGAATCCATGAAATATTTAAACAGCTTTACTTGATGATCATTTTGTACACCTTTTAAATAAACATACAATTTGAATTAGTTGGCAGGCTCAGCGATATTGATTAGCTCATTATTACGCCAGATTCTAAATACTTTGAGAACATATTGTCTTTGAAAAAGAAAATAACAGCCTGTGCCTAAAATCACATTCATCTCAAGTCTGCCAATCTCTGCTCCAAAACATTCTTCTGCTGCCAATTCCTCTTTCCATTCTTTATAGTCAGCTGCTTCTTCCATTTACCTCACTATTTTGCCTCCTACAGAGCCCTTGCTGTTTGCTGCAGATTTATGGTCTGGTCTAACATGCACAGTATTGGCAAAGCATTAAACATGTCCACTCTTAATACTGTGAGCTCTCTCCATCGATAAGAGCCTTAATAAAAACATCCCCCCAAGTGGATTTGTGTGTCTCTTTTTCACTTTCCTCCCTCCTCGACAATATCCGTCTCTCTTCGTCTGCTATGCCAGCTTTAAACTGGTCCTGCTGCACATCCCTTGCCTTTCTCTCCTTCTTTTCCACCTATATCTTCCCACCCACACTCCACCTCCTTCTCTGGCCCGTGCCAGAGGTTTAATGACGCTTGAATGCCACTGCTATGGAGGTTTCTTCTTCACTCTTTTCTCATAAAGGATATTTAAAAGCCATGCCCTGAAATCAATCCATCTCAATGTGTCTGTTGCAGATTCATTTCTCTTCCATCTCCTCTTTCTGTTTTTCCTCTTAACTATCAAATGGATAACATTACCCTGCGTAACCCCTCTCCTGGTTTGGTTCCCACACACATCCTCTGCAACAGCCCTCGGCTGCAATTGGCACACTTGCTCAAACTGCAAGTCTTTTATATCATCTATAAATGCCTATTGGTACCCTAAAAGCCTTCCCTACCCCCTGCAGCCATCCGGGTCAGTTATGCCAATGAGAGCTGAGCAGCTGTTCCCCTCCCACTTCTTTCTCCTTTGCTGTCTCTGATGTCAAGAATTTGAGCATCATAAGCACATTTTAAATATTAACAAAGACCACTTTGCACGTATGAATAATACAGCAGAGAGGGCAGCGGCTGGCCAGCGATCCCATCCCCTGCTGCCTGACGACCATAAAACTAATGCACTGCTCCGGGACAGAATGTGGCCTGGTCTGGTCTGCCAGCAGGACTTGCCTGAGGAACTGGTCTGGCCTGTGGCCTGGCCCAAAGAGAGCTGTCGGTCTGTTTATTTATCACGGTGCCTTACCACCTGTCCAAATCTCTGTAGATGCAACTGGCAGCACTTTTGTTATGACTACATGTTTCAGAGACACTTTAATCTAATCTGACATTTCAATCTGTTGAGCGTCTTTCAAGCCAAATCTACTTTGGTGTCTGTTCGAGGTTAGCTTTGTTGTCACATTCCTTTCTTTTGATGCATCTAAAATTCATACTTTAGCCGTCAGAAAATTACAGAATTCGTCAGACCAAACTGTAGAGCAGTTAGCTCACATGTAATATTAAAGAGTCTTCTTTCAGCCGATGCACTGTTATCAAGAGCAAGAGGACTCCCACACCTAACGCGAATGAGACAGCACGTCCTAGAGGAGTGTCACCATTCGTCCAGCCTCTATGGGAGTGTCTGACATGCTACGCTGCCTAACTCTGAACAGTCGACTGCCTCTTCACTACTCTCAGCCTCGCTCTCCTCCTGTCTTGACCTCCCAGTCTGAACACTGGTCTCCCCCGGGGATTACTGGGAACCTTGTCTTCTTCATTTAATCCTGACGTCAAAAAGCAGGGTGTAAACACACTTCCCGTATGTCGGTTTTCTAATTCTGATGAAGTCATTTATAATGACACACACACACACAGAGAGACGCAGCGGACAGCAGGGAAGTTACTCCAGACAAGTGTTCCTGGCAGTCTGGGTAATTAATGTGTATGTCAACACAGAAAGAAGAGCACCATAGCAGAAATGTGAGCTCAGCAGATCCACAATGCAGGCAGAGACCGAGACAGGACAGATCTGAGGGGAGGCGGCAGAGGAAAGGTATACACACAGTGGGGGAGAAGATAAATGCAATCTGTCCGTCCCATCATGCATTCCCTAAATATATCTCTGTCTTCCTCTCTCCCAGACAGAAACTTTCCTGGGGCACACTGAGCTATTGTCCCCTGTTGTCCCGCTCCTCCCAGGTCCCTAAAAGGACCTCACCGCAATCCTCAACCTCCAACTGTTTATATGAACGTTTCTCATGCAAGGATTTCAGAACGGTCCACAATTTTAATAAACGTAAGCTGCTTTTCTGCTCCGCCTGTTCTGGGAATAATACACACAGGAGGACCTTGGGAGGTATACGGCGGGGGGGGGGGTCTTATAGGCATTCAAAGAAATGGCCACAGTCCTGGACAGACAGTCCAAAAGATTACTGCTGTCATTAAGTAAAAAATGGACTTCCTGAGTCAGGTTTATTTTTGGAGAGGTCCTTTAGCAAAGCTTGTCTGGATTCTGTACATTGTCGGCCGCATTGTTCTTTTATTTTCCTACTGTAAACCGAGCTTAATCCACAATCCAATGAACCCTCAGATTTCTGCCTTATATTTCAATCCTTTCTGGGAAAGGGAGGGGATGAAAAGTCCAGGCTCGCCTACCACAAGGCCACACTGAGTGAAATCATTCATCTAACACTGGAGACAGGCAGTTTCACCTTGGTGTCCAGGTCCTGCCACTTCAGCTCACCAACAGTGACCGGACCCATGTACCAAATGATTTCATCTCCATGAGAGCTGCTGCACTCTTTGAGGGCATTACCTCGGAGCAATCTACTGATTGAAGTCTGCTCTTCCCTGATCAAAGCCTGCTCGGCTCAGACTGAAATACTATGTCTAATAATAAATGATTAAAAAGGTGTCAATGGTTTATGATCAATGGGAGCATTCAGTATTTCAGACACAACATGTACTCCCAAGCTTAAAAACAAGTTAGAGTACATTTTTAGATCTTGCAATGGGAAAATGTTTTTGTTTTTTAAAATCTCTTTCCCTGAAGCATTTTAAGTGCTCCGTCTTACTTTTCACAAGGCTTTTCTTTTTCTTTTTGGAGAGGCCAAGAAGGCATGGAGCAAAACCCTAATTACTCCCTGCGCACCGGGGGAGTTCTATTTTTCCGCTCCAAGTAGAAAAGAGAGCTCTGAGCTCGGGTGTACTGTAAGGCTGAAGACTTTGCTGTGGGGTAAAGAAAGTGCTGGTCAGCAGTCAACCCCAGACCCCTGCACTCTTATTGTTGTAGCTATACTCTGGAGTCCGATGCATGTTTTTTGATTTTATTCTCTTTTTTTTTTTTTTTTTTAAATTCAGGGCATGAAGGTAATTGTGGGATTGGACACAAATCGGAAATCTGAAATTGTGTGTGTGTGTGCGCGCGCAGATGTGAGCGTGTTTTGTCAATGTTGCGCAATGTCACATGTGTAGCCTACAGTATTTCACAATGATTACACACAGATCTTTGAATAACAACTCCGTATTTCGCAATGATTAAACTCACCAGTGCCAGACGCGAGATATCCCCCGACCAAGAGGAGAAGAACCAGAAGACCGAGACCTTGGTCACGCTTCATCCGAACAGAGAGCATCTTTTCCGGATACACCGTTGCGAAACGTCCCGGGGTTTCCCACACAGCGTTACCTGCGGTGTTTCTGACAAAAGTGGCTCTTGTCCAACAAAGTCTCTGCTCCTGAAAAAGATTCCACAGGAAAGAGCGAAACACCAAAGAGTCCAGTAATTGATGTATGTGGTTGTTTTGGTAAATAGTTCACTCTTGACTGTTGTCGCAAACAGACTACAACGCTCAAAACATTTCCGCCTGTAATCAAACTTTGAAAAGGTCCGTAGATATCACACCCCGCAAATATTAAGAAACAAATTCCTGGTAGATTTCATTTCCAAGCTGCACTTACTCTGTTGCCTGGGAGCGATAAGCGCAGTGGTAACACAAAAGTCACCAAAAAGTTTGACGCATTGCTGCTCTGACTGGAGAGGTTAAATCATGCGATAGAAAGTCCGATTCCCAGCAGAAGACAAACTTATTTTGCGACCATACAAAATGAGTACCACGGGGAGATGCTGTCAGAAGAAGGGAGATGCCGCGTCCACAGCTGACTGGACTCCTGAGTCTGTTCTGGGGGGACCCTGGGTGTCTTAGTCTTGCCTCGTCCCCGTCCGCAAGGTGTAAACAAGAACACGGGGATCAACGTGGAGCACAATGCCAGCCTCCGGACTACCAGCCCCCGCCTGGCCAATCACATACCATCCTCCTCCTCCTCTCAGAGTGAAGGCTGAACAAGTGAAGGTAAACTAGTGGCATGCGAGGAGGAAATAGATGGGAGGGGAGAAAAAGAAAACCCGGACCCTAGAGCGCACGGCATCGCTCCGGATTCAGCGGCTATGGTCACACTGCAGACTATGAGGTTGTGAGTTTCTTTTATGAGAATCAATTAATAAACCTATCTATCCATCTATCTCTATGTCTGTCTATCCATCCATCTATCTGTCTTTATTTTCTCAAATCGAATAACTTTAATGCAATAACATAGATAGTCCCCTTTATTTGCTGCCCTACCTAATGTGAATAGTCAGTGGGCAGCTTTCTTGAGTCTATTAAAGAAGTCCAGCAGGATTTTATGAGAGCATATTACTTGCCGTCAATCTATCTCTCCCGCATCCCGGGGTCATATTTTACTCCCGGTGGCCGCAAGAGAGCACCCTTTCATACATGAGCCAATGAGAATGACTCCTCAGCAGCAGCCCTCTTGATTATCTAAGTCGTTTCCTGTATAACTAGATGGGGCCGATAGTGATTAATTGGTGAGAGGAGACCACTGGGGGCATGCTGAAGAGGTGAGCATTGCTTTGGCTTTGAATCAGCTTTTATAGTTCATGTTATAAAGCAGCAACAATTCAATTCAGATTCCAATCACAATGTGCAGAGCGGGTGTCTTATTTTGAATGTTGAGAGAATCTTTGGCTGCTGTTATTTTGTTTTTTCCTGAGATCACCTGTCATTTTTAACAGTGGCATCCTCTTTGAGTTTTTGAAGTTTAAGATTCTTTCTCATCTTTGTCTGTGGAGCCGCAGTAACATTGACTGCTCAACAGCTAATTTACTCTTTAATTTATTGTAAAGAAATCACCGTTGTTGATGCTTCTGGTAGCTGTAAACCTGTCACTTCCTGTGCGCTTGAGAAACCTTCACAACACTGATTGTTTGGAACAGCAACTTGCCTTCATTAACTCTGCATTTGATGTTCAAATGAAAAGAAAATATAAATAAAAGAAATAAAGAAATGAAAGGGAGCATAACAAGTGTAAATGCATCCATACCGTGGAAGGGTTTAATGAAGATGGAAATTATGGGAATTATATGTTACAGTGGCCAGTGTCAAACCAGTTGAACGCCTGAGAGATTTTTTTTTCCACCACAATCATCAAATGAGGGAATATCTTTTGTAAGAATGGTGTTCACATAGAGATCAGAGACTTTGAGAATTATATGACAAGGAGCACTGACGCCGCTCTGGAAACTTGATGTTTTTTTTCTTTAGTTTGTTATCCACCTGCTATATGTTTTACTGAATTAATGATAAAAAAGGACAAAAACAGTCATTTATTTCAATAAAATGTCACAGACTATTACTTACAGCATAACATTACATGAGTGGCATCACTCTCTGGCTCATACTGAGTCTAACATTCATACCTTCTGTTGCTGAGTCACATTGATAATCAATGAGGGGACAGTTTATCCTTGCATGACTTGTATATTGGATTAACACTTTATTGTAATACGCTAAAGATAAAATAAGATATATACATAAGAGTAAAATCTAACAAAGCCCAGAGTTTAAGGCATGGGGTGAAGAGCAAGTATGTATGCATGCATGCTGCTAAGCCTAAAGCGAGGCCATTTTCTAAAATGTGACAGTATCTGGCAACAGAACAGCATCGCTGTACTTTTCCTTAAATCCAGCTTCAAAGGTTATAATTTGCCTGGACAAGTGATGACTCCCAATGCCTCCCTCCTCCTCCTCCGACGACAATTATGCTGTTTCCTGGAGCACAGAATATACACTCTGGTATATTTATTTATTCTCGAAGTCTTTATTGTGACTGGTGAGAGACGGAGCGTGGGAGAGGTATGAGGAGATTGAAGGAGATGGGGACCAAGACAGAGAGACACTGACAGAGACGCTGAGAGTGAGAGAGGTTATGCGTGAAATGGGGTTCGCAGGTTGTGTTTGAGACAGATTTGCTTCGTGGAGCTACAAATGCATTTTCTGTTTGCATGTCTGTGCATGCCGTAGTTTTTGATGGTGTTTCTGTGCCACTTTCACTGCTCTGTTCCTTCATTCACTAGCTCTGTGCTCTGCATTAATGAGTATATTGAGTATATACTTATGTGACATTATCCACCATCTTTTTCTAATCACCTCACTTAGCAGTGATTCTTTTGGTATATGGAGCACTTCGGGGTGAAGAGCTCATTCAACAGTTTTTATGCGACTGGCTATCTTGACACATCGCCTACCTCGATGAGGTCATGCAGGATGGTAACAGTTTACAAACTCTGGACAATTTGCCCTCTCGTCCTTCCCTCCAACACATGTCCACAATTATTACCGGGATGATGACACTAGTCCTGGTCGAGATGAAATGCAGAAAGTGGATGAGATCAGGCGGCAGCAGCAGGGAGCGATGACAAAAAGCTGTGGTCAAGCCCTCCAGCCCTCAGAGAATATACAGGAAGTTGCATATACATATACAACATGTGACTAATAGCCTACAATCTTCAAAGGAAATTAGGCTTTTTTTCTACAAAACGTGGTGTTTGTTGTCGAAACTAGGAGCCAATCAGCTCATTGATCAAGCTACAGCCAGGCATTTCCGATCATGCCTTGGGTCTTGCAGTCTGTGGAGAGCAACTGCGGCGCCTGGCTCTAAAATATATGGCCTCCTCGATCGCGTGAGGATATCGTTGCCTTCGCGCATGATGCCAGGGGAAGTCGGGATCAAGTTGGACACAAATCTAATTGGCATGCATTGGGAGGCATTGATTCTGCGCCGGCCTAGCTCATCTCGAATGAGCCTAACGTTGAACTTGCCATAATGAAGATATTACATTATTGTGCCCGTCGCTAAGACTAATTGAAGATCTACCTCAAGGGCATGCAAAGGAAAGCTGTAGAGGAAAGCTGTGGGGAAAGGAGAGCCATAATCGAGTGGATAGAACTCATATGCGGTGCACCACACAGAGGAAGAGACAATGAGAAAGCTAGAGCTATTATTAAGGCATAATAGTTTGTTCGCCGAGGTCTGTTTAGCACTGCTGACTCTCCGTTGCTTTGTGTTGCAGGCTTGACATAAAAAGGATCAAACTTCCTATCTCTGTAAAACAGAGGGGGTCTAAAAATAGGAGACATGCTCTAGAAGTTGCCGTGGAGATAATTGAATATTATTTTCAGGAATGATTAAGTTGACCTATCCAGTAGACTAATTATTTCTCGCAGACCAGAGGAGAACATGCTTAATAGAGTTGGTAACAGTGAATAAAGCAAAATAAAGCATCCAATCTGCAGGCTTTCCGCTGACCAAGAAGACAACATCTGTGGAAAAATGAATAATATCCATCATTAGCGTTTGGCTTGGGGGATGTTCAGTATTTCAGAGTGGTGTCCTCTGATATTTTCTTTGGATCTATTTAAAGTTTCAGGTCATCGAAATCACATCATAAAAACTATCCAGAAAGTTTCGGTTCTAACTCACACAGGCCCCGCCCTCTACTGGTCTAATACTTTCCGGCAAATGGGTGCCCCAGTCACAAGAACGCATTGGCCCACTGAAAATGTGCATAACGGGCGGACTGTATACCGCGCTGACAGAACGCAGGATTCCAGTAAGTCGGACTCTGTTTTTATCAATAATGCTTAGTGCTCCAACGTAGTTAAGCTTGACAGACCAAAGAACTCATGGTTTTTGTGATGCAAATTTAAAAAATGCACTACAGGAATAGTATTCGCACTACAGGAATAGTATTTTTAGGGCCTACATAGGGCCAGATGATTAAACGGGCCAAACCATCAGAATAAAAAATAAAAAAATGTAGACAGATGAAGCTACCGCCTCTCTAAAAGACTGTTCTACAGACCGGCATATGTTCAGCAATACCCAAGAGAATAACATCAATATTGAGTAATATACATCAACTGTGACATTGTATATCAGCAAATGTGTTGATGATGTGGTGATCACACACTATTAAATCAATTCCCAAACCAGAAAGTCTGGATGAATGGAGAGGAGCGGGCGCTATCCAGAACCCCAAAAAAATGCCTTTCGTTCAGGTGACAGGGAAGCATACTGTACATGGCACTCACCTCCATTCTGATGAAGTGCTTTGAGAAACTGGCTCTCCCTATCAAAAACAACATCCCAGCCAGCCTGGACCCTCACCAGTTTGCATGGAGAGCCAACAGATCCACAGAGGATGCCGTCCCCACTGCCCTCCACTCAGCCCTCAGACATCTTGAAAACAACACCTACATAAGAATGTTCTTTGTTTAATTTAGCTCAGCCTGCAACACAATCTCCCCCATGAATTGAACTGATTGGTAGACTCAGCACTGTGGGCTTGAGTACCTAACTCTGCAACTGGTTATTAGACTTCCTCAAACAGACCCCAGGCAGTTCAGATTGGCAGCCACACCTCCTCCACTCTGGTGTTGAACACCAGGAGCCCTTCAGGGCTGTGCGCTCAGCCAACTCCTGTTCACACTCTACACCCACTGCTTCAACCAAAGACATAAAGACAACTCTGTTATGAATTTTGCAGATGACACTATCATTATCGGCCGGATTACAAACAATGAGACTTCATATACAGAGAAAATTACAAACTCTTGCAGAGTGGTGCTCAGAGAGCAACCTACTGGTCAACATTAGTAAAACTAAGGAGCCGATTGTTGATTTTAGAAAAACATCCACATCCTAGGTAAGTTCCTAGGAATAAGCATCACAAACAACCTGACATGGTCATCACACATCTCCATCCTGGTGAAAAAAAGTCATAAACGGCTGCATGAAGGAAACGTAAGAAGGCAAAATTCCTGTGCCAAGTTTTTGTTAACTTTTACAGAGGAGCAATAGAAAGCATCCCGACAGGAACCATTACAAACTGGCATGGGATGTGCACGTTCCAGGACAGTAGGGATCTACAGCGGGTGATTAAAGCCGCCCTGAACATCATTGGTACCCATCTACTGAGCATCAGTGATATTGGTGACAAGAGGTGCCTCCGAAGATCTCAAAGTATATTAAAAGACAATACCAACCTAACCACAGCCTGTTCACCCTACTGGCCTCTGGCAAGCCTTACTGAAGTATTAGCTGCTGTACCACCAGATTTCAGAGCTTCTTTCCT